GTCTTCTCTCTTTTGTTAGTTAACCTGGCTAGAAGCTTATCAATTTTATTGATCTTTTCAGAGAACCAGCTTTTGGTCTTCTTGATTTTTCTCTGATTTCCTTCTTTCAGGAAGGAAGATTTCTGCTCTAATTTTTATTATTTCTTTTCTCCTACTTTGTGTTTGCTCTTCTTTTTCTCGTTTCCTAAGGTGGAAGCTTACATTGCTAATTTTAGATCTTCTTTTTTAGTATATACATTCAATGCTATAAATTTCCCTATAAACACTACTTTCATTGCACCCCACAAACTTCGGTAAGTTTTATTTTCACTTTCACATAATTCAAAATATTTAAAAATTTCTCTTGAGATTTCTTCTCTGACCCATGTGTTGTTTAGAAGCATATTGTTTAATCGTCAAGTATTTTGAGATTTTCTAGCTATCTTTCTGTTATTGATTTCTAGCTTAATGCTATCGTGCTCTTAGAGAATATGTAGTGTGATTTCTATTCTTTTAAATTTGTTAAAATTTCTTGAAGTCTGCTTTATTGCACAAACTGTGGTCTATATCAGTGAATACTCCATGTGAGCTTCAAGACAATGTGTATCCTGCTGTTGTTGGAGGAAGTAGTGTATAGGTGTCAGTTATATACAGTTGATTGACAGTGTTGTTGAGTTCAACCATTTACTTAGCACCTACCATGTGACAGACATTGTCTGTCTCGGCCTTCATTGAGTTACATTTCCTTCTCACCAGCATTAAATTAGAGTCCCTGTTGTAACACATCCTCATCATCATTTGGTATTGTCAGATTTTTGGTGTTTAGCCGTTCTAATAGGTGTGTAGTGGTATCTCATCTTTGTTTTAATTTTCAATTTCCTAATAACAAATGATGTTGAGTGTCATTTTATATGATTGTGTGCCTCTTTATATCTTTGGTTAGTACTCACTTTAAATTTTTATTTAGTAAAAAATACTATCCAAAGGGTATGAGACTTCAGTTATAATAACTTCTGGGGATCTAATGTAAAGCATGGTGACTATAGATAATAATGCTGTATTTTATACTTGAAATTTGAGATTAATCTTAAGTGTTCTCACCACACATACATAAAAAGAAGAAAAGTAACTACGTGAGATGATGGGTATGTTACTCAACCTGTAGTAATCATTTTACAGTGTATACATATATCAAATCATTATGTTGTACACTTTAAATATATACAATTTTATTTCTCAATTGTACCTCAATAAAGTTGGGGAAGAGCATTTAAAATAAATAAATAAAAAGAATTACCATATGATCCAGCGATCCCATATAAACCCAAAGAATTGAAAGCAAGGGTTGAACAGATTTGCAAACCCATGTTCATAGCAGCATTATTCACAATAGCCAAAAGGTAGAAGCAACACAAATATCCATTGACAGATGAATGGATAAACAAAATGTGATATATACACGCACACACATGTGCATACACACAAAAACACACACAGAGGAATATTATTCAGCCTTAAAAAGGAAGGAAATCCTGTCACATGTTAGTTACAATATAAATGAATCTTGAGGACATTATGCTAAGTGAAATAAGCCAATCACAAGAGGACAAATGCTGTATGATTATGCTTATATGAAGTGTCTAAAGTAGTCAAATTCATAAAAACAGAAAGTAGAATGGCTGTTACCAGGGACTGGGGAAAAGGGAAAAAGGGAGTTGTTGTTTAATGGATGTATAGAGTTTTGTTTCTACGAATTAAAAAATTTTGGAGATTTGTTGCACAACAGTGCGAATATACTTAATGCTATGGAAATGTACACTTAAAAGTGTTCAAGATGGTAAGTTTTATCTTATGTGTTTTTTACTACAATTTTTAAAAAATTGCTTACGTTTCTCTATACTGGAGATAACTAATCCGAAAATAAAATTACAAGACACCAATCACAACTGTGGCAACAGCTATAAAATGTCTAAAACTAACTGAGCATACATAGGACCACTATGAAAAATGGAATTTTCCAAACCGTAATAAAGAGCATACAGGATAATTTGAATAAATGGGGAAATACCCTTTGCTTCTACATGGGATAAAAAAAAAAACTCTCCTAATTTGCTTTGTAAAACTTAGATGTGCCATTAATTTGATTTTTCCCGTCATGGATCTGTGACCTTTGGAAGCACTTTCACATCAGTTATCTACATGGTAATTCTCAAACTCAGCTTTGGGTATCACGAGGAACAGAAGTAGATTTTCCCTCTCCGAAATATGCATTACATGTTTCTTGTGAGGGTATTCCTTCATTTACCAGATATTTACTTAGCACCTACCATGTGACAGACATTGTCTGTCTCGGCCTTCATTGAGTTTACATTCCTGTGAACAGAATATTGAACATCTTCCCATTTAAAATAGAACTAATGAGGCCGGCTCCGTGGCTGAGTGGTTAAAATTCCGCTCACTCTGCTTTGGCAGCCCCGGGTCGTGGGTCCACTCGTCAGCCATGCTGTGGAGGCATCCCACATACAAAGTAGAGGAAGATTGGCATGGATGTTAGCTCACAGCAAATCGTCCTCACCAAACAGAAAAGAGAAATAAATAAAACAATACTAAAGTAAACTAAGAAATCTGGGGTAACAAAATGCACTTACAGACTGACAATTCTGAATTGTTGCCTATTCTTCCTCTAGTCCTTTTTCTCAGAGCCTAACCCTCTGGAGGATTCCTGGCTTTGAAACGTATGTAATCAAAATGAATATCATTTTAACATAATATTTTTAAAAATCAAAATTAAGGCCAAAACTCGATGACCAATTAAATTTCAAAATTTTAAAGACAGGATGGTACACTGTCATGCCAAGCCACCAGGTCTGAGGCAAAAGGAAAAATGTGTGCCCCTATGTTTATATTTTCGTGTATTTTTTCATGGTTGTTTTTTCAAAAACAATAGAGTATTTGAAAAAGTATTGAAACATTGAAACGTAGGTATATTAAAACACATCATTTTAAATATTTTATATATACCAAAACCAGACTTTACTCTAATTTTATTCTCTTGATTTTAGTCGATTCAAATTCATCAATAACATCTTTAAAATCTACTTTTGGGAGAAACTAACCATTTAAAAAATACATAAAAGCCTGTATAGAGGAGTGCACTTTTTCTTTTGCTTTACGTTTCAATATGACTTCTCACGGAACTGGTAAAGATGAACATGGTTGGTTCAACTTGCTTTACACGGTGCTTGGAAAACCTTAGACTCTAACACAGAAGTTGGGCTAAGTGGTTTATTAATCAAATAAAATATTTAGGGAGGTTTTCGTTTTATACTTTTAATCTTTCCAGGAATTGCCTCAGTGCTTACTTTGGCTTGGTGTCAGATATTTGTACTCGTAAGAACAAAGTTAAAAGAAATTCATGAGGCTTAGAATGGATTCCTTTCTATCAAATACACTTAAAAAAAGTTTTTGGAAACATTTCAAGTCTGTTGTGAAGAGAATTACCAGAATTTGGGACAAAGCGATAAAGAGAATCTGCTTTCAAGTGTATCATACTCCATTATAGAGCTATATCTCTTCAGTTTAAACTTGGAAGTAGTTTCCCTGTTAGTTCCTATCCTGGTGTGTTTTTAAAATTATTATTAATTAATTAATTAATTTCTGTGAGGAAAATTGGCCCTGAGCTAACATCTGTAGCCACTGTTCCTCGTTTTGCTTGAGGAAGATTGTCGCTGAGCTAACATCTGTGCCAGTCTTCCTCTATTTTATGTGGGCTGCTGCACAGCACGGCTTGACGAGCAGTGCTATGTCTGTGCCCGGGGTTCAAACCTGCGAGCCCTGGGCCACCAAAGCAGAGCACATGAACCCAACCACTACGCCACCAGGCCAGCCCCTCCTGATGTGTTTTTAAAATTATTTTTATTCCCTGTTTGAGAAATTTTCAGTACTACAAATGAAAGCAAAAAGCCACAAATGTACTTGAGCCCCAAATCAATTCTAAATTAACACAGGAAGAGAATTTTGACGACTTTTGGTTTAGAGTAGAATGTAAAATTAAACAACACGCACCCAGATTTCATGCCACAGAAATGCAAAAAGACATTTCGAAATCCCTCTTGGTAAAAATTATATTGCATCATAAAGAGAGTTTGTTTAGAGCTTGGAGTTTGAGAAATGTAATGTGTGTGGTTTCCTTAAAAAAAAAAACATGAAAGATCAAATGCTTCATTTGCTGCTGGAGCTATTTATAAACTGTTCAAATTGAGTGCAGTGGGAGGGTTAAGTAGCTAGCTAGTAAAGACGTATCACGGTCTGCTAACTGGTGAGGAGAGAAAAGGAGAGAAGATACAGAATGTTTTGAAAAGCATCTACACGTAAGTCAACAGGACAGTGTGCCAGGTACTGCTTATAACGTTCTGCAGAATAGTCCATAGTGCACATTAAGAAGTACTAGACTTGACCTGAGGGGTAGCTTCGAAGGCTTAACCAAGGAAGGGATGATTGAGTTATACTTGAACCTACAGGGTGACCCTGAGTGCTGCAAAGAGAAGGAAGTCCAGATGCAAAAGCATGAGGGTGGGACAGAGAGAGTGGGTTGTTGGAACATAACACAGAGGCTCTAAAAGGAGCGTGGTGAGGAAGGAAGCTCATATCAGTAAAAATGATAGTAAAGCGGATTCACAGCCTTTTGCCTTGTGGGGGTGAATTAACAACGGAAGCTTTAAAGAATAACAGCATTTCTTTTGAAATATTCAGGCAGAGGCAGCGGCAGACAATGGGCAGGCAAGTGAGAAGGGCATTAGTTCTTGGGGGGAAAGCTGAGATGGACGTTCAACCAGTAGAATGTATGTTTAAGAGAAGAGATAAGGTGCACCATAAGGTAGCCACCAAGCCTAGGTATTTGGAGGGAGGGGCTTTGAAAGTATTTCCATAAAAAGAGGTTTTTGAACTGTCAGTTCCAAATGAATATCTCTTAAAGCCTTAACATGATTTTCTTTCCTCTCCAAATGTTTGCCTTGTCATAGCATCGAACAAACAACTGAGATCCTGTTGCATCTGTCACCTGATGAAGCTGCCAATCTGAAGGAAGGGATCAATTTTCTTCGAAATAAGAAGACGGGCAAAGATTACATCTTATATAAGAACAAGAGCCGCCTGCGAGCGTGCAAGAATATGTGCAAGCATCAAGGAGGCCTGTTCATAAAAGATATTGAGGATTTCGACGGAAGGTACCAAGAGTCCTTTGCTTTCTCACCAGCGACACTTCTTAAGGGGATTTGGCAGAAAATGTGCTCATTTAAAAATTTCAAAGGGACCAATCAACAGATTATTTCCCCTAGTCAATCCATCACTTTCACTTGTGCTCGCTGAGGGTATCTCTCTGATCTCAAAATGTTATGACCTCTACTTAATTTTCCTCTCTCTCATAAGAACGATTAAAATTTATTCCTAGCTTGAAAAACAGTAAAACTCCTAGGGTAGGTGTGTCTGTGTGTGTGAGCATTTGGGTGTGCATTTACCTGCTTTTGTGTTCAAAGATTCAAGCCTCCTTTAGGTTTCCTTTCCCTCTCCTGGAGAAGTGTGTGTGCTTGTTTGCCAGGGTGGGGAAGGGTAGCTTTCCAAACTCTGCTGGGGAGCGGGTGGAATTTCTCTGGCAGCCTAGTTGTAGTTAAAAAATAAATATGGCAGATCCCCAACCGTGCCTGCTCTGAACAGTGGCTCTTCTGGCCATTTCTCGGAAGAACTAGTGCTGGCACCTGCCTCTCCTCACCCCTTGATTAAACCTGTGCATACATCTCCCCCCCAGTGCAGGAGTCAGACCAGGACAGGATTGTTTAGTTTTGTTTGCAATGACTGCCGAAGAGATAACAGGCCTGCCTGGCACAGCCAGGGAGAGGTCTGGGTGGGGAGGTGCTCTGTCAGCCTCAGTCTCAGCATCAGCAATGCATGAGCAGTTTTCTTTTCTTTTTGAGGAAGATTAGTCATGAGCTAATGTCTGCCAATCCTCCTCTTTCTGCTGAGGAAGACTGGCCCTGAGCTAACATCCATGCCCGTCTTCCTCCACTTTATATGTGGGATGCCTACCACAGCATGGCTTGCCAAGCAGTGCCATGTCCGCTCCTGGGATCCGAACTGGCAACCCGGGGGCCGCTGAAGCAGAACGTGCGAACTTAACCCCTGTGCCACCAGGCCGGCCCCTGACCCCATCTTTTAAGCTTTGCTTCAATCTAACTTGATCTGTGTGATTTTGGTTATTTCCTGCTGGGCTTTTTTCTTCCACTGTGTTGTCAGTCTAATTTCTTAGGTGATTTGTGGGCAGTTTAGTGCTAGTGTACTCAGATGGAGCTGGGTAGTTGTCCAAGAGCTCCTTGCTGTAATTGTTTAGAAGTCACCCAACTCCAGAATGTTCTCACACCTGTGTACAGGTTTGCATCACTGCATACTTAGTTTCGGGACCCAATCCATGTATTATTAGATTTTTAAATGTTAACCACTGTGGTGTCTGTAGCTTTCTTGGCTCCTCAGATCAGGTTGCTAAATTTGGCAACTAACAATACAGGATGCCCAGTTAAATTAGCATTTCAGGTAAACAACAAATGTATCTTTAGTATAAATATGTCCCAGAATTGCATGGGACATACTTTTAGCTCACAACTGTACTCTGGGGGGGGGGGGGGGGCCTCTTGGTAGTTTGCTAACAGTCCTATTTTGATTCTCTTCCATCTTCTCAGTGGATTCAAGTTAGAGAAAGCTCAGACATTGGTGTTCTGTCACTAGTAAACTTCTGCAAGTACTCAGAATGTTGAGGTTTTCTAACTATTGCGGAGTTTTTTTGTTTTGGGAAAAAAATCAGTAAACGTTTATTTGATCCAGTCATTTTTAATACATACCGTTGATGGCCCGCCCCCACGCCACTCGGGTCTGGGGGGCGGGGTAACTGTTACCGTTCTGCGACTGTTTTTCTCTCTTTGAAGGGCCTTTCGACACCGTGCCCGCTCAGCCAGCCGTTTAAAGGAAGCGTTACAGTTTAGCAATTAGGAGCATGATGTTTCTGCATTGACGGTCTACTTTAGAAGCCTGGCCCACGGTTTCCCAGCTCAGTGACCCCCGCACGAGGCCTTTCCGGGCTTTAATCGCCTCCTCTCTAAAATAAGGATCAAATGTTACCTTCATTGTCGGGTTGCTGAGAAGACTGAGTGATTTCAAACATAAAGCACTTACAAGAACGTCTGGCATAAGATGACCACTCAGTATATGTTAATTACGTTGACTGTTATTATTACTCTGACATAAATTTCTTGTATAGTTTAGGAACAGAGCTTATTTACGGGAACTCAGATGGTTCTTAGTTCTTAACATTGTGCCTCTTAACATAGTGATTGCTTTACTGCAGACTGGCCTTTCTCTCCTTCATCCGAAGCCTTGGGGGCCATTGATCCTGGTTTCGCCCTATTCTGTTGACGGGCCAACCTGGAGACAGCACTCTTTTGACTCTGCTGCACTTAAGGAACCAGATTCCCCCAGGCTTATTCCCAGTTGAAGCTTGCCACGCATTTAGATCTTGAAACTTAGCATCGCCAGAGGAACCCACACACTGTACTCCCCTGTCCACCTCTCCAAATTCAATTGCTTCTAGGTGGGTTCTCTGTGTAGCACTTCACCTGAAGAATCTCTTTTCCAGGATTCAGTCAAGAACAATGACCTACCTGTTCCACCCCCGCTGTGTCAGTTGGTTGTTTTCTTCACATGTGAAAAAAAATCAGCAGCTCTTAAAAGCTGTGGTTCTCGTTTTTTGTCACAGCCTTTCTTGCATAGGAAGCTGTTGCCTCCCTCCTGTCTACCTGCCAATCATGAACGTTTATGGGCCTGTGATAGTTTCGCCCTTAATGGCCCAGCATACTGAAAAGCTGCGTTTCTAATGTTCTGTTAGTTTTTGAAAGGTTGTTGGCTACTCATTGATGAGAAAGGAGATGCCACAAAATAATCCTCCATAAATTGAAATGTGGAATATGCTTTTTGCCTCATTACTAAAAAATAACATAAAAAATTCTGGATATAATGAAGCTTGAAAAAATCAGTATAGTTCCCTTATATGTTAAAATAGACATTTTTAGTTGAAAAAAATCTGATCTTCCTGGTTTGAGACATCCTTGTTTGTTTGCAAAATAAAATTATTTAACTGTTGAAAAAAAAACTTCAATGGGAACACTACCAACATAAAGAGAAGACATAATCTGTTCATGCCCCATCTCCAACCACCACTTGCCTCTGCTAAGAAATAGAAAGGAGAAAAATTCCTGAGCATCTTGTTTTGTTACAGTCTGATTCTTGTTCTGAAATAGGGTTGCCAGAGTTACTAAATAAAAATGCAGAACACTCAAATTTGAATTTCAGATAACAAATTTTTAACACATCTCAAATATTGTGTGAGATAATAAATTAGTCATTATTTATCTGAAATTCATATTTAACTGGGCATCCTGTATTGCTGGCAACCATGTTTTGAAATATTAAACTATAGGGAAATCTTGTCTCTTGGATAAATGAAAACTTTAGTTGAGCTTAGGTTTAGTACATTGTACTAAGGGTCAAAGGTTGTGGAGTAATTGTAAATCACAGACCTGTATTTGCTACTACTACATTCTTTCCTTGTGTTGGCCCCAACGGCATCTTACCTAGCTTAGTCTTTATAAGAGAACCAACCCTGAAGCCTGCTTTATTCTGGTGGCTCCGTTGATCTCTCACTTGTCATTTCATGACGTGAAGTTTATCTTCATTTTTTAAATCACCTACTGATAATTAGTCTATATCTCCTTGGGTATTTGAATGTTAGCTATTAATAGTTTTCTTCTCATGTATTTTGTGTTCAATCAACTAGTGTAATTTTGTCACAAAAATAATACGTTTTAGCACGATAAGATTAATTTTTATTTTCGCCGTCATAAACCTAAGCACAATTTTTCATCCAGGTCTGTTAGGTGCACAAAACACAACTGGAAGTTAGACGTGAGCTCCATGAAGTATATCAACCCTCCGGGCAGCTTCTGTCAAGATGAACTGGGTAAATACCATCAAGTTGATAAATGTATTTTGCTATTATCGTTATTGGGGTTCTTCTTGTCAACTTGTTTCCAGTCTCACTTGAAGCTTTGGATACATTATGATTTTAAGCTGTGGGCATTAGGGTTGGTTGGGTTTTTTTTTTTTAATAATTAGTGCTGAAAATTCTAAACAGAGGATTTCTCCAAGAGATCCCTTCATTCATTCATTTGTTGAGCAAATATTTGTTGAGACCTTACCATGTGTAAACATTGGACTGGTATTAAGAGATACAATGATGGATGAGATAGTCAGTGTGAGTGAGAGGACATTTACGTGAAGTGGTAGCTCAGGCAAACCTGAGATCAAGGATGCTCTAATAGGTTTCTTAGATAAAGTGTATTATAAAATAGTGGCTCTGAATATTTTATCAATGAAGACACACAGGTGGATGTTCATGTGCACGATCCTCTCAATAATTATGATGAAACTTCACAGTTTTGATTAAGAGATAAAGTGCTTCAAATTCCATAGCTCTTTCTGGTATAGGTAAGTGGCCACAGTTTACAGATTCTCAGTATGCTGGCTCTACTTGTACTTTTTGCTTCCTCCTACTCAAGCTAGCCTGTGAAATATGAGTAAGAAGGGCTTAGTCATAGGAATAAATTTGTCTGTCTCTGTTTTGATTAAAATTGTGTTTTATCAGTAGAAAAATTACTTATGAGAAGTTTACAACTGTTCAGTTAGAAACACTGTTTCAGAATGACTGCTACAGGAATAAGAAACCAGATTTGATCTAACCGGGGGAAATCGCAGAAAGCATCATCCCGGAGATGGCACTAATGTTGGGTTTTGAAAGATGGGCAGAATTTCATCAGGCAGAGAAGAGAAAGAAGGACATTCCTGGGGAAGGGAACAGCTGGGCCAGCTTTAGCACCTTTAGGGCCAAATGTGTAGTTCAGTTGGCTGGAGTATAGGGTATGTTCATTCAAGTAGTACAATATAAGCCCGCAAAGGTATATTGCAAGGAGGGCTTTGAAATCTGTTCTAAGAATTAAGACCTAATCCAGAATGGTATTGTGTGTCAGGTGTAGTATTAGGCACTTTGTGTGAATTATTACCCTCATATCGACCCTACGAGGCAGTAATGGGGAGTCAGTACCGGAGAGTCATTTTCTTACCACCAAATGTATCAACCCGCCTGGCCCTGTGCCTACACATTCTTCCTTGCCTCCGGTTACAGGTTAAAGTGGATGTACTGACCTGTTCCTATGGCTAGACCCTCCCCTCACACACTGGATCCCATCTCCTCACACTTACTTAAGAACTTCATTCCTGCAATTCTCTCTCTCCAATATCATCAATTTTGTCCTTGCCTATTTTTTTTTTTTAAGATTTTATTTTTCCTTTTTCTCCCAAAGCCCCCTGGTACATAGTTGTATATTTTTAGTTGTGGGTCCTTCTAGTTGTGGCATGTAGGATGCCACCACAGCATGGCTTGATGAGCGGTGCCATGTCTACGCCCACGATCCGAATGGGTGCATCCCTGGGCCGCCAAAGTGGAGCGCATGAACTTAACCACTCGCCCATGGGGCTGGCCCCCTGTCCTTGCCTATTAACCTGCATGCATGCACACGTGCACACACACAGACACACACACATGCTCTAGTTTTCATGTAAGTCCTTACTAGACCTTGCATCCCCCTTAAGTTGTGTTCTCATTTCTCAAAACCTTTAAACAGCTAACCCCCTGGAAACAGGTGTCCACACTCAGTGCCTCTGTTCCTTCACCTCCCATTCTCTCGTAGTTGAGCTTCTGACCCTACCACTCCACTAACACTGCTCCGTCAAGGTCCCCAGTGTTCTCCATCATTCTAAATTCAGTGGTTGCTTTTCTATTGTCATCATGCTCAAACTCTCAGCAGTATACAGCACAGTGGCCCCATCTCTCCTCAACATATGCTGTTTTCTTGTTGTCTGGGAAGCAGTTCTCTCTGTATTAGTTTTCTATTTGCTGCTGTAACAAAGTACCACAAACTTAGTAGCTGTTTTAAGATTTAATGTAAGATTTATTAAGATTTAATTAAGACTTGAGATTTATTATTTATTTAATATAAGATTTATTAAGATTTAATATAAATCGATTATCTCACAGTTTTGTAGGACAAGAAGTCCAACACAGGTCTCATAGCTAAAACTATGGTGTCAGCAGGGCTGTGTTTCTTTCCGGAAGCTCTAGAGGAGAATATGTTTCCTTGCTTTTTCCAGCATTTAGAAGGCCCTCTTTGTCCATTTTCAAAGCCTGGCATCTCTGGACATTTTTCTGTAGTCATATCTCCCTCTTCTTTTAAGGACCCTTATGATATGTTGGGCCCATGCAGATAACCCAGGATAATCTCCCTATTTTAAAATCAGCTGGGGGCTGGCCTGATGGCATAGTGGTTAAGTTTGCCTGCTCCACTTTAGTGGCCCAGGATTCACAGGTCCGGATGCCGGGTGCAGACCTAGCACTGCTCGTCAAGCCACGTTGTGGCAGCATCCTACATAAAATAGAGGAAGATTGGCACAGATGTTAGCTCAGTGATAATCTTCCTCAAGCAAAAACAAGAGGAAGATTGGTAACAGACGTTAGCTCAGGGCCAATCTTCCTCACACACACAAATAAAGTCAGCTGATTAGCGACCTTAATTTCATTTGCAACTTGAACTCCCCTTTCTCATATAGCCTAACTTATTCATAGATCCTGGACATTAGGATGTGGGCATCTTTGGGAGCCATTATTCTGTCTACCACACTCTCCTGATTTTTATTCTGATCACACTGAGTACTTCTCAGTCTCCTCTACTGACTCATCCTCTGCTAGACTTCTGAATGTTGATATGATCTTGGACTTAATCCTAAGCTGTCTTTATCTACATGCTTTTCCTAAATGATCACTTCTAAACCCGCAGCTCTAAATGCCGTTTTAACTCAGATGACTCCAAAAAAGACACCTCCAGCTTTGACCTCATCCCTGAGCTCCAACTCTGATATCCAACTGCCTACTGAGTATTTCAACATGGACTGCTAGTAGGCATTACAAGCATGCAGCCTAAACAGAACTCTTAATGCCCAGCCCCAATTCATCCTCAGACCTGTTCCTCCTCCAGCCTTCCCCACCTCTGTAAGAGGCACCACATCCACTCAATTGAACAAAACCTGGTAGTCACTCTGAGTCTTCTCTTTCCTTAAATACCCATATCTAAACCATTAATCCTGTTGCCTCTATGCCAAAACACCTTCAGAATCCATCCACACTGGCTCCACCTGAGTGCAAGTCACAGTCACCTTCTGCCTGAATGACTGGCCTCCCTGTTTCCGCCCTTGCCTTCTACAGTCCATACTGCTTACAGCACCCAGTGTAATCTTCTAAAAATCCAAATCAATTCACATTATTCCCCTGCTTGAAACTTTCCAGCAAGCTTCCTATCACACTTAAGAATGTGCATACCTTTGATCCAGCAATTCTGCATCCAAGACTGTATGCTAAGATCTTATTGACGTGTCAAAAGATATAGTTATAAGAATGTTCACTCACAGCAATTTACAAGAAAAACTGGAAACAATTTAAACATTAGAAATAATTTTGATATCTTAAAACTGCTACTATTGAAGAAACTAAAATAATAAGAGAATATTTCGGATATAAAGCAAAAAGATAGGTTAAACACATTACATCTAGTATGACCAATTATGAAAAAATATATCTGCATAAATTACTATTTGTTACCTGTGAAGGGAGCTGAGCTGGGGGCTTCCTGGGCTGTAACTCCATCTAGGGACTTAGATGATGCTACCTTTACATTTTTTCAGGCTCAAATTATTGTGACCATAGGATATGGTATAGAATATCAGGGCCACTCTTGCCCATGTGTCTTGGTAAGACCAACTCCTAGTGATTTTTTGAAGAAGATCCTGCCCTGCACAGGCATTCTCCCAGTTCCCCTATGAGCAGAAGCGTCACTTGTTGAGATGCAAGTCATTTTCCATTCTTCCCCCAAGAAGATAGAATGCTATTCTGGGAAGAGTTGGAACCCTGCAGGCTCTCTTGTTATCGGAAACTGAATACATGTGCAATACAAATACTGTTAAAAATTTATTTGGGCAAAACCAATAAGAACTGATAAGCATAGGTTTGAACATAATAAACTGTTAGTTTATGTAAGTGAAAGGACAACGGACTATAAATCTTGTGACTATGTAACCCAGAAATCTATAGATGCTTTGGGCCTTTTACGAAAACTTCTAAGTCTTTTGGACAAGACCTGTAGAGACAATATAGCAAAATTGTTAAGAGAGAAGGCAATGGGGTTCAGGTCCGGGGCTTGAACACACAATTAAGTGACTTTGGGTGAGTTATGGAACCTCTTTATGCTTTAGTTTCCTCAAATGGAGATAATATTGGTAGTAGCTATATTCTTATTGCCTTTTCTTGCCCAATTTCCTTGGCTTGAACCTCCAGGTAGAAGTGGCAAGAGCAGACATACTTGTCCTTTTCCTGTTCTTGGGGGGAAGGCATCCAATCTTTCACTATAAAGTATGATGTTAACTGTGGGGTTTTCTTAGATTCCCTTTTGCAGGTTGGGAGCATTCCCTTGTAAGTTCTCTGAGTGTTTTTATCATGAAAGGGCGTTGGACTTTGTTAAATGCCTTTTTTGCATTAATTGAGAAGATCATGCATTTTTTCCCCCTTTGTTCTATTAATGTGATGTATTTCGTTAATGGCTTTTCAAATATTGAAACAGCCTTACATGAACCCCACTTGATCGTGGTGTATAATTCTTTTTTATATTGCTAAATCGTGTTTTCTAATATTTTGTTAAAGATTTTTATATCTATATTCATAAGGCATATTAGTCTCTAGTTTTCCTTTTCTTGTGATGTCTTTGTCTGGTATTTGCATCAGGGTAATACTGGCCTCATAGAATGAGTTGGGAAGTGTTCCCTCTTCTTCTGTTTGTTGGAAGAATTTGTGAGGTATTG